GATTACCGTGGTTGCCAAGCCCTACCAACCGCTAGTGGGTTAACCGTGATCTGGTTGGTAATATATGGTTAGCGCAGTCTACGGGGGATGAAACGTGGGGGTTTTATTGGCTTTTCTTTTTCTTGATTAGCTTCTGGAATCATTGGCCTAGAGCTCATCTCCTATAGTACTACTACCCCACTGAAGTGGCATTACCGTCCACAAGATGTCAATAGGAATCGGTTTCTTCCAGATGGAGATAATAGTAGTTGCTTAGGGGCACCAAGAATAACCTTCTATGTACTCATAACTAGTTTCGGCATAGAAAATACCAACGATTTCTCCAGAACACATATTGCTTTCAAAGGTTTGACTGGTTAGGGATTGTCTATATTTATCGTGCATCCTGATACGAGAAGGCCCTTTTCTAGAAATGCTCCGACCGTCTCATCGGAACAAAAAGCATTTATCAAATAGTTCCTATAATGGATTGTTATTTAGGTGTTGAAGTGGGGTACAGGTAGGAACTTATTACTACGATATCTGCACAATAGCTAGCTGTTTCGTATTATTATGAATCGAGGCTTGACCGTCGTTATAAAGGAATACCACTGGCAGATATTGGCCGTAAAAGTTCAGTACATTAGAACTTGTAACATTATTAATTCTACCTATTAGTAATGATAAATTCTCGTCGCAAAGAACCATCCATAGCCTAAATCAGGTGTAACTAGACAGTTCCATACGCAGAACCGTGGCGAATACCCTCTTTTTCGCACTAACTATTTGCGCTCCGGATTGCCCCAAGAACCTCATCTTGAGATGCGCCAGATCGTATAAGACCAACAATGCGAGCTACCATTGCTTGATCTTCATTTCGTATTGAGTCCACAAGTTCATTAAGAAATTCACGGTAATAATCCGCATATTCAGCAGTGGCGGCAGGGCTTCGAGGATCTGCAGTTGGGTCTGCCTGATTGTTGTCGTTGGCATTGATTTCGTTGGATAGGTTACTATTGCTGTGAAGTGTTTTTTCAGCTAAGCTATAAACCCATAGAGGTATTGCAATAAAGGTTCGGGTAGGATCTATTTACCTTCCTAAGCTCTGGTGGTTCTCTTGGACCATTATTGCTCAACGGGTTGTTACTTTTTCTGCGACTTGGAAATATTATTTGGTAACTCGGTCACCGTAAGGTTTGGTAAAATGTGACACAAAGTACATAGGGGAGCCATCAGTGGGAGACATATGTTGATTTTTGGAAGACAATACTATTTTAATCAAGCATTCTCTCCTTCGGGGGGCAAAGGCGAACCTTGGGCACTCTCCAAAATGGTTCTCGGTCGGAACAACAAATATGCGATCTGAGAATTATTTTCTTTTTGGAAGTTAAAAATTTGATAGCATACATGTGCTGCTGCGCCCTTAATCGTTTTCTGTCTTGTTTTTTTTTTTTTCGGCTGGTTAATATTGCCACAATCGAAGCTACTCCAAGAATTGCCGTTGAGGACTAGTAATCCGAGTCACGTATCTAATGAATATGAACGTTGACAAAATGACGAGGTACTTAGGTCTATGAAGAACTATTATGAACTTAATTTATGTATCACTTTCTCAATACAACCAATTTGATACGATACAATGACTAATCCATACAAGTGGTCTAAAAAATGCTTTTCTGTCTTTCAGGCCCCGACATGTGACCTCCCATATTTAACTCTAAAGAGGTTAACGTTCTATGGATGGGAAGGCAAGTGATAAAATGATGACATTATGATTCGGTTGGGCGGCTCTCACCCATAGGGCTAAACACTGGCATTTATATTAGGTGGCAATAAATATAGTTCAATATATTAATATGCATCATTCTTTATTCTTCGCCATTAACGAAATAACCACGTACGTGACACAAATCATAATGGAAGCAAAACGGGATAAAGAAACCCACTCGCAGGTTAGATGATTCCCCAGGATGATTGAGATATAGCGCATTGGGCCAATATATTACTAGACTCTCTCCGAGGATGAGAAACGCCGCCTCCGCCTTTATGATAGGCTGCCTTATGGAGGAGAACTGCTCAGACAGCAGTCTAGAGTATGTTTCTGATAAGGCAGCCCAAGGCAGCTACTGACAAGTGAAAGGAACGGAGGTACTTTGATTCGGGTGATTTGGCTCTCTCTACGGCCGATAGAGTGACTGATGAAGGTGCAATTCAAACTGGCACAGCCCATCCTATACGTGATAGCATTTCTCGCCCTTATGCCCCGGTTCCCAACACCAGTAATGCCAACAAAGATGCGAACAAGGGCTTTAGTAGCAAGAAACCCCAAATTCCGGAAATGATAGAGAGCCCTCTGCACCAACCAATCGACAATGCGAATAGGATGCAGAAACCAGAAGGAACAGTTTAGAATCGATGCTTTTTTGACGTTTGTTTCGGTTTAAGTTCAATTCAGAAGAACCTTATGTGATGCTCATGTCAGGTTTGGTAGAAAGAGATCACAAGCTTAGTTACGGCAATTTAGAGAGGTATACCACGTATTGTCGTTTCTGCCGGTGTATTACTTTTACCCAGATATAACCATGTCGAGCTTACTATCAAATGGAAATATTTTCTGCTAGAACAGTAATACAAAGACGTTCAATATAAAAAATCGATGCCACCCACCAGGCCATTCTCAGGGTTTCTACCACACGTGAAACTACTCGAGCAGCAGTACTATTCCCCCACTATGATCTCCATGCTATCTCCCAAAAGGCTAATACAAGTGAGGAATGCGCCCGCTTTTCGCGCTTGCACCGTTCATGATCAAAACTTTCCGAGAGGTTAAATTATAGCTTGCGGTAGCTGCTTCCTGAGGTTGAGTACAAGTGACGTTAAGCACTATCGTTGCTGCTCTTGGAACTATTAAGTCTGGTGTCATAACTGTCGCTAGCTGAACTCTCGTATATAGGCTCATAGCATTGCTGTACTCATTGAAGAGTGTTGGGGAGCGGCGCATAGTCGTCATTACTTGAAGTCTTTGCTTGTATGATAACAAGCCGTTCAATTCCTTGGCTCTGTTCTTTGGTATTTGTCAGATAATGTGAATCAGTAAGAAAGCCTAGGATTCGTACCAATTTGCCAATGTGGCTGCATTGTCGGAACTAGAAGGAATATGGCGAAATATTAGGAAATATCTGGAAAGCTATGTTATACGGGGGGAATAAAATGCCGAGAGGAACATGACTAATTTTTTTTTTTTTTTTTTTTTTTTTTCCTTTTTTTTAGAAAACAAGGAATGCGATCGTTATGACGTCAGCAAACTTGACAGCAGACAAGAGGCGGACGAGAAAACGACAGAATATCTCAAAGGATATTAGCACGAACGGAGGTATTATTCTCCGATCCCCATTCGCAATCTGGACTGATACTCGATTCGCACTTGTTCGTTGTTGTCGTCGATCAGTAGGGAATTCTAGTCATCGGGGTAAGTCGTATCTAATTAAGATAGCTAACTGGTCGCAGAGTCCTTGGATGGATACTCGGGCGTAACAGCGGCCTCCCACCCTTAGGGTTGCTTTCACGCTCCCAAATAAGCGTTTGTTAGTACCTAGCCTTCTAATTGTACGTTCGTGACAGTCAACAACATTAGCCATCTGGGCCGCTGTGAGTTCACCGGTTGTCATCATCATATTGGCGGCCTCTATCTTTGATGCACCAAGATTAGGTGCCATTTCTGCCGTTAGATTGTTTCGGGAGAACGAGCATGATTGACAGATTACCAGGGAGGGGTATGGAGGTGTAGGGCCATATGATATTGTATTAGCAAAACATACAGTATGATAATATTACTGTAATAATATACATGAATACCATACAATACCTTCTCCAAGGACCGGGGTATTCCATAAGAGGTTAGGGCTTTCTTGGCATAGGGTTGGGGAAACTGGTGACGCGTGCTGTCGCAACGCTGTGGCCCTGAAACGACGTGAAACGCGAAAATCTAGAATCCTAAGGGTACATGATTCAGAGTGGCCACATGCGTGGGTTCTCAGTGTCACTATCTTTCCAATAAACTTCGAATGCTGGGTAATTTGGAGACCACAGGCTCCACGTTCGGAGCACAGTAGCCCTCCACACCCGCTGTGAAGCTAGGCGTTAGCTCATACTCTTCTAACGAAGCTTCACAGTCCTGGGGAGAGATCATTGTATCGAAAACTAGAAAAAGCTGCCCGGAATCGTGGGTTATAAGAAAACGTGATATAGGTAGCAGCTAAATTTGGTATTTAGAAGGCAGATACACTGGGAAATACATATATGATATAGAAGCTACTGGCAAGTGGGATACCGAGGATCTTACACAAGAGGAATTTGCGGGGACCGCTCCTTATTCACCGACTATTTTCTGCCAATATTCTGTCGCACCAAAAAACTCCTGTGTACCGGGAACTGCTAAGGGCACCCCCAGCTTTGTACGGCCACTTAGTCCAGCAGATGGGAGCTTTTTCGGTGGCGGAGAAGGGTTGGTGGGAGTAGTGGCAATGTCTCCTACGCCGAAATTGATAACGAACTGCCCCCAACTGCTTGGCGGAAATGATGTCCGTTTCAGATTTAGCCAGGATTGTTCTGTTCAATGGTTGTCCTAGCCCTCCACAGCCACAACTTCACAACCATGGTTTGCCATTACATGAAAGTATAAACGTTGCTTCAATCAGAGTGGCCAGGAGAGTGGGCCCCGTTAAAGCATGGAGGTCGTGGAATCGGTAGCCCCGTTTTTATACTCCGTACCATCATCTCCCCCGTGGGGATGCCGATGAACATCACCAACGCACGGTTCGGCCTTTTGTGTCGGTGGGATCAAGCCTAGTGCAAGCAAGACTTCCCTGAGCTGTCTTTTAAAATGGGTCCTCTTACCTCTTCTCTGGTCTCATTCCCAAGTTCAGTTCCATCTCCATGTCGTTTCTTGTAAAAACGCTGATCGCATCGGCGGCGCTTCTACCCACGCTGGCCTATACCCAGGCCAACGCTGGTGATGCCGGGGCGAGATCACCAGACGCCTATCAATGGATTCAACCCGCAAACACCACCATCCTGGGCGAGTACGGCCATTCGCCGCCAGTATACCCCTCTCGTAAGTCTGTTCTTACTACACGCATGCTGGCTTGCTGCTGATGTTACTTAGCCAATATCACTGGATCAGGCGGATGGGAGACAGCATTAGACAAGGCTACTCATTTTGTTTCGCTGCTCACGCTTGATGAAAAGGCGTGGCTCGTCACCGGTGTGGCCGGGCCATGTATCGGGAACATTGGCCCCATCCTACGTCTGAATTTCACAGGCCTCTGTCTCCAAGATGGCCCAAATGCTGTCCGACCTTCGGACTATGTGAGCGTGTTCCCCGCCGGAATAACAATTGCTTCATCCTGGGATCGAGACCTCATTTATGAGCGATACCATGATTTGGGTCTCGAGTACAGAGGCAAAGGCGCTCAAGTTGCCCTGGCGTACGTTGCTGCCCCGAATACTCTCACCTGGCGCCAGCCTGCTGACATTGTCACATACAGTCCTGTTGGAGGCCCATTGGGCCGGACGCCATATGGTGGGCGTAACTGGGAGGGCTTCTCCCCAGATCCGTATCTCACCGGAGTTGCGATGGAATCGAGCGTGAAGGGACTACAAGATGCTGGAGTCCAGGCAACGATCAAACACTGGCTTCTCTATGAACAAGAAAGCCAACGCTCGCCCACCATCTATCCCAATGGCACGCTCGAGTTCTCAGTCTACTCCTCGAACGCTGATGATCGGACCATACGTAAGTCGCTCTTTGTTTCTTCTTGCCTCCTGTTATGGACTGTTTGTCCTGACAACTATCTTAGATGAACTCTACATGTGGCCCTTTGCCAATGCTATCCGTGCCGAGGCTTCCGCTGCCATGTGTTCGTATAATCGTGTCAACGGCTCATATGCGTGTCAAAACTCGAAACTCCTCAACGGACTTCTAAAGAAAGAACTAGGATTTCAAGGGTACGTGATGAGTGATTGGGGCGGCCTTCACTCCGGGGTGGCCTCTGCCCTAGCAGGAATGGACATGGATCAACCAGGTTTCATTGAGCCCATGACACCCCTTCACAACCAGACAGGTCTCTCTTCATACTTTGGGTGGAATATAACATCCGCTGTCCGAAATGGTACACTTGTGGAGACTCGCCTCGACGACATGATTAAAAGAATCATGACACCATACTATTTCCTCCACCAAGACCAAGG